GTCCCGCGATCGCGCCTCCGCGCCAGCATGTTGGACACCGCTCATGTCGATGCCCAGGTGCGCCGCGAGCGCAGCCCTGTGCGTATCGGCCTCCAATCGCACCCGCTTCTGTTGCTGAACATTCCATTGCCGCGATGATGGCGCGTCTTCGTCGCCCTCCACCCGCAATCGCGCTGCCAGCTCATGCAACTGATACCGGGCCATGCGCGCCAACACCTCCGCGTCCACACCGTCGCGCGCGCCCCCGGGCCCGCCCTGCGCCCCTGCGGCACTCTGCTCCACACGGCGCTTCGGCGCCCCGCCCCGCAGCGCGCCACGCCCCGCACCCGCGCGCGGCGACCGCGACGCCGAGCTCGAACGCCCGTGAGCGACGACGCGACACCACGGCGCGCTCTCGGCTTCCCCCCACTCCACATCAACAGAACCCACCGACTCCTCCACCGCGCACACGTGGCCGCCGTCGTGCCACGGCAGAGCACCAGCGCAGAAGCCTGCCGCGTGCCCCAGCGCCCACGCCACACGCCTTCCTTCCTGCGCATCGAACGCTTCCGCAGATTCCGCAGAGAACACGCGCACGTGCAGGAAGCGGGAGCGCAAGTGCTGGACCACGACCTCTAGATTCCAGCGCTCCACCAGCGACCCACAAGCGCCCGAACCCTCGTGGTTCTGGCACGCTCTGCCGAAATGCCGCGCGGCGTCGCCCCCGACGAGCTCAGCCACTGCGCTCTGCAAACACTTCCCACGCCATTCGACCGGAGCACTAGCGCGCGCGCGGCGGTTCCCCCGCCCGCGTCCGCCGCGCGGCCGCGGCGAGGCGTGTTAAAGCCACTGGTCTTCAAAAGGTTCTGGGTTTCGTATGATAAACCTACATCCCCTAACTCTCGGGTGAAATGAGCCCTTGGTTCGCGCCAGAACCTCCTCCTGACTCCTCCTTCTCCTCGGAAGCCGCAGCCCCTTCCCTATCCTTGTCCCCGAGGCCGCGGGGAGGAGGGAGCAGGGGGCGGCGGCGGAGAAGGGGCGGGGAGGGAGAGCTTGGGCGCTCGCGAACGCAGCGCTTCTCCGCGCCCCGCCTGGCCCCGCCTCCGAGCGCGCCCGCCCCGCCTCAATCCGACTCGGACTCCGCTCTCGGTGCCTCCTTCTCGTCCTTCTTCTCCTCCTGGGCCTCCTCCTCGGCCTCCTCCTCGGCCTCCTCCCTGGGCCTCCTCCTCGGACTCCTCGTCCGAGTCTAGGCCCTTTTTTGGCGGAGAGCTCAGAGGGGGAAATGAAAAAGGGCGGGCCTTCAACATACAAATACCGTGTGAGAGATTATCCAAGCCGTGTCCGAAAACGCAGAAGGCTTCTCAGGAGGCTGGAGGGCCTCCGAGAAGCACCGCCGCCTTGAGAAGGCCCGCCCCCTCTTTCATTTCCCCATCGGAGCGCCGCCGACCTTCAGGTCGCCACCACGGCTAGCCGCCTGGGCCGCCTCGAGTCTGGCCTTGTTCTGGCGGTTCCACTCTTCCAGCCTAGGATCGAGGACACGCGACGCCAACACCACCAGGGCGAGGAGATGCAGGGGGGCATGGAGGGGGGAAGGGGGTTCTCCCTGGCGGCGTGCCCCCCCATCCCGCTCTAGACATCACCAATCCCCAGCTCGGGGAGGGCATAGTGGTTGGACCACATCGTTTGAGGCGGCCTCCCTGGCGGTGTTGGTGGCGCTTCCCGCCCCCCCGACAACCCATCGCGGCCGCCCGCGAGCTCTGCGCCGGGCCCGCCCAGCTGTCTCTTCAGCGCGGCAACTTCTTCTTCGAGGGACACGACCTCGAGGGCCCCGAACTCACGCTTCTGAGCGAAGCGCGAAGCTCTTCGCGCTCTCGCGCCAACCCCCCATCACAACAAACAATGAGGGTTGGGAGGGGGAGTGGGGCCGAACCGCGAAGCGCGAAACACTTCGCTCACTCGTCGGGGCCCTTGACGCCCGCGGGCCTTCTGAGCGAGAGCGTCGGTCTTTTCGACGAGATCGTGGATCTGGTTGACGGCCCACGTCAACTGGGGAGGGCGACCCCGCCGCCACCCCGCCCCGATCGCCACCCCGAGCGAGAGCCTCGCGGGACTCCTCCGTTGGGGCTCTAGGAGGGCCCAACGCTAAAGCCCCGAGGGGCTCTCGTTATCTCGGTGCGATTGCGGCGGGCGTGGGTGCGGGGTCACCCCCCTCTTCTCCTCATCATCCCCCCTTTCATCCCTCTTCTCCCCCACCTCACTCCTCAGTGTGCCCCCCCTCCCCCTCTTCTATCCTCACAAACCTGCGCCGCGGCCACCGCGGCAGCGCGCCTCTGCGGGTCTGCGGGCGGGGCCGCGAGAGCGGGCGTGCAAGGGACGGACATGGGGTCGGGCGCGTTTGCGGACATGGGGTCGGGGCGCGACAGGCAGCTCGAGGCTCGAGGCTCGGGGGCTAGCGCAGCCCTGGATACACCGCAACCAAGCTACAACACCACGCATGATGAGTAGTCCCCAGCAGTTGCGGATGCGAATGGCGATGGTTCGGCGCGCTCGCGAACGCGAGAACGCGTTCGCCCAGGACGCCCGCCCAAGCCACCCACCGCCGCCCACGACCACCAACCCAAGCACCACCACATCACCCCTCCCCTCATCCCCACCCCCTTCCCCCGCACACCCACCCACGCATTACCGCCTAAGAACGCCCGACCAGGGCCCTAAACCCCCCCACCGCCCGCGGAGGGCCCCCCCGCCGAGCGCTGGCGACCCCGCCCAGGGCCCACCCAACACGGCCACGCACGCCTAATCAAGGAACACGCGAGGCCGTTCGTGCACCCCCAACCTGACGAGCGAATGTGCCAGCTGGCCCGAGTTCTCGACCCCTCGGCTCTAGACTCGGCTTGGGGTGGGGCTTGGCGCCGACGGGGATCGGAGGGCACCGATGGAGATCGGAGGTCGCGGGCGGAGATCGGAAGGCGCCTGGCGGTTAACGTTGGACCACCAGGAACGATCTGAGGCGGGGGGCCTCGATGGAAGCGGCGCCAGCGCCACCAGGGGGGGAGCCAGGGCCCTTGCCGTGGCTGCAGGCACGGTATGCCCATCCCGCTCGAGACACCACCGCTCCCCAGCTCGGGTTGCATCGCGGACCTCATCGTTGGTCGTGGCACCCCTGGTGGCGGTGGCGTCGTCTCTCCCCCTCTTCCCCCTCACCCGAACACATCGCCGCAAGGGCTCCGAACGTCACGCTTCGCGTTCCGCGGAGCGCGACGCGCAAAATAACTTCGCGCTCTCGCGCAGCCTCACATGGAGGCAACCAGGGGGAGGCGGGCCGAACGGGACCGAGCCGAAGCGCGAAGCACGAATAACTCCGCGCCATCGTCGGGGACCCTGCCTTGTCATCGCTATTTCACCGAGTGCTCAAGCGCATGCGCTCCAGGCGCTGCGCGCACGGCGCGCCCCGTGTTCACCGCCACGGGGCGAGCGGCAAAAGAGAGGAGTGGACGCGAGGGGGACAGGGAAGTTGGGGTGCGACGGAGCGGTTGTCATGCCTCAAATGCCTCATCGCTCCCCTCACCCCCTCCCCCAAACGCTTTGCTCGTCCGCCGCCACCTCCTGGCCTTTCTCATCCGCCTCCTCCGCCTCCTCCTCCTCCTCCTCATCCTCCTCCTCCTCCTCCTCCTCCGCGCCCTCCTCCGCGCCCTCCTCCTCCACATCCTCGCACCCCACATCCCCCTCACACGAACCGCCCGACCGCGGCTCCGAACGGGGGCCTCGTGGAGGCCGAGGGCTTCTGGCTTCTAGGGGGCGGGGCCCACCAGGAGAACAAGCGGGAGAGACTGCACATGCGAGACTCCCGCTGCGAGACTTGCGCCACGCACTCAGCGCGAGAGTGAGAGAGCGCGAGAGCTAAAAACAAACAACCAACACCACACAAGAGAGATAGGGCACATGAACACGATAGAGAGAGGGGAGAGGGAGAGCTGCACAGAGGGAGAGGGGAGAGGGACAGCTACACAGAGGGGGAGGGAGAGTGGCCTATGTATGCGTATATAGAGAGAGGGGAAAGAGAGAGAGAGAGAGAGAGAGAGAGAGAGAGAGAGAGAGAGAGAGCGAGGGAGCGCACGGGAAAGACGAACATAACGCGAGGGAGATGGAAAGGGAGAGGGCGAGGGCGAGAGAGAGAGGGATTACGCGAGAGAGAGAGAGAGAGAGAGAGAGAGAAGAGAGAGAGAGAGAAGAGAGAAGAGGAGAAGAGAGGCGAGAGTAGGGGCGTGAGGGGGAGGGGCGGTGGTGGAGGGAGAGCGAGAGGGAGAAGAGGGAAGAGGGAGAGGGGGAGAGAAGAGGAGATAAGAGAGAGAGAGAGAGAGAGAAGAGACGAGAGAGAGGAGAGAGAGAGAGAGAGAGAGAGAGAGAGAGAGAGAGAGAGAGAGAGAGAGAGAGAGACATGACCAGAACAACAGACGGGAGGAGCGGATGCCCTGCGCGGTGCAGCGGCACCCGCGCTGCGCCTTCCCGCGCAGCACGTTCCCTAGTGAGCAGTCGGCGGCTGGCACGAGGGTGGATCAAATTGGAGGGGATGGGCATCTGCTTTCTCCCCCTCCTCCTCCCCATCATCTTCTTCACCCGCTTATCCTCGTCATCCTGCCATCCTCCTCCTCACCGTGCATGCCCATTGCCCCCCCCATCATCGCCCTCATCCCTCATCATCCTCATTATGGTTCCCCTCGCCCTCCTCGTCAGCATCGCCCCCCTCCGCCTCCTCTGCCTCCTCCTCCCCCCCTCCTCCTCCTCCGCCTCCTCCTCCTCCGCATCCGCGTCCTCATCCTCATCATCATCCTCCTCATCCTTCGTCTCCTCCTCCTCCTCCTCCTCCTCATCCTCCTCCTCCTCCTCCTCCTTACCTAGTGGAGTTGTGGATCGGGGGGGGGTCTGAAGCGCCGCCGACGGCGTTCGATTGGCTCGGCGGTTCGCCGAGCGGCACGGGCAGGCACGCGAGCGCCTCACTCGAGAGGCCCACGTCAGTGGCCCTAGTGGGCCGAGCCCTGGCCGAAGGCCTTGTCGATCCGCAGGGTGCCCTTCGCAGCCGCAGCCGCAGCCTTCGCTGCTGCAGACTTCGGCTTCGGCTTGAGCTTCGCCACGGCCGAGGTCGTCACCTTGGCCCCGCCCTCCTCGCCAGCGTTCGTCTGTGCCGCGGCGGCCATCGCATCCTCGGCAGCTTTCTTCATGGCCTCCTCATCGGCCCTCGCATCCTCGGCAGCTTTCTTCCTGGCCTCCTCCGCGGCCCTCGCATCCTCGGCAGCTTTCTTGTGTGCCTCCCCCGCGGCCCTCGCATCCTCGGCAGCTTTCTTCTTGGCCTCCTCAGCGCTCCTCGCCTCCTCGGCAGCTTTCTTATTGGCCTCCTCAGCGCTCCTCGCCTCCTCGGCAGCTTTCTGCTTGGCCTCCTCAGCGCTCCTCGCATCCTCGGCAGCTTTCTTCGTGGCCTCCTCGGCAGCTTTCTTCTTGGCCTCCTCAACGGCCCTCGCATCCTCGGCAGCTTTCTTCTTGGCCTCCTCATCGGCCCTCGCATCCTCGGCAGCTTTCTTCTTGGCCTCCTCATCGGCCCTCGCATCCTCGGCAGCTTTCTTCTTGGCCTCCTCATCGGCCTTCGCATCCTCGGCTTCTTTCTTCTTGGCCTCCTCAGCGGCGCTCGCCTCCTCGGCAGCTTTCTTCTGCGCCTCCTCCGCGGCCCTCGCATCCTCGGCAGCTTTCTGCTTGGCCTCCTCAGCGCTCCTCGCATCCTCGGCGGCTTTCTTCTTGGCCTCCTCAGCGGCCCTCGCCTCCTCGGCAGCTTTCTGTTGTGCCTCCTCTTTGGCCCTCGTATCCTCGGCAGCTTTCTTCTGGGCCTCCTCGACCGCCCTCGCATCCTCGGCAGCTTTCTTCTCGGTATCCTCCGCGGCACCCGCATCCTCGGCAGCTTTCTTCTTGGCCTCCTCAGCGGCGCTCGCCTCCTCTGCAGCTTTCTTCTGGCCCTCCTCCGCGGCTCTCGCATCATCCTCGGCAGCTTTCTTCTTGGCCTCCTCACTCTCCTCGCTCGCACCCTCCACCTCGGCAGCTTTCCCATCGGCACCCTCAGCAGCGCTCGCCTCCTCTGCAGCTTTCTTCCTGGCCTCCTCGTCGGCGCCGTCAGCGAGCGCGAGCGGCGCCGCGGTGTCCTTCCACACGAGCACGGCTTTCTCGACGAGGTGGCGCTGCGGCACCTACGGGCCGCACAGCGGTGCGAACGCAAAGCGGCGCGGCAGGGCGAGCAAAGCAAGGGGACACATGCGAAGCTCATCCTTGCCCCCGCGATTTCTGAAGGGGAGGGGGGCGGTGCTCACTTCGCCCCGCGAAGTGAGCCACGAAGTGAGCCCCACCTCCTCCCGCGGAAACCGTGGGGGAAAGGATACGATTCGCGTGTTGCCCCCTACACGGGGCGGTCGGCGACGACGACTGCGGCCGCGACGACGACGACGACGACGACGACGACGACGACGACGACGACGACGACGACGGCGACGACGACGGCGACGGTGACGGTGACGACGACGACAACTACGGTTGCGGCGGCGGCGGCGGCGACCACGACGACCACGACGGCGGCTGCGGCGACGACGACGGCGGCGCCAGCGGCGACGACGACGCTGACCACGGCTGCGGAGACGGCGACGACGACGCAAACAAGAAAGTCAGCTGGCACATTGTCGAACTTGCTGATGGCGTGCAAGGTGGCCTGCGCAGCCTTCATCCCGCGCCCTGGGTTGATGTTGCCGAGGCTGATCCTCGGGGGAGCGGGGTGCTGTCAAGGATGAGGCCGAGGATGGTGGCGATGTGGAGGGCGAACGGCATGGCGCCATGACAGCGGCGAAGACTGCGATGATGAGCGCAACGGCGAGGGTAAGGGCACACATCCTCCTCCTCCTCCTCCTCCTCCTCCTCCTCCTCCTCCTCCTCCCCCTCCCCCTCATCCTCCTGCCCTCGCCGCCCAAGCCAGCGCTATCCCCATGCCACCATTCGCCCTCCACGACACCGCGCACAAAACGCTGGTGTCCTGACGCCCGTGCACGTGGTCAGCGCTCTCTCCGCGAAGATGAAGCCAGCGGGGATGCACATCATCCCCTATCCCCATATGCGCGGATGGGGGGGGGGGGCGGGAGGAGGCGGGGGAGGAAGAGGAGGAGGGTGAGGGAGAGGATACAGCAGCAATGACAACCCTTAGCGCAGGCGCCGCAACAGGAGGAGGAGGAGGAGGAGAGGAGGAGGAGCAGGAGGAGGAGGAGGAGGAGGAGGAGGAGGAAGAGGAGGAGGAGGAGGAGAAAGAGGAGCACTACGGCGGGAGGGTCCACGATGGAACGGCGCAATCCGACGGGGGCGGGGATCAAGCGCTCCAGGCAGCGACTGCCCCACTCAAAGCCTGCCCGCAAGTGCCTCGAGCAACGGCTCACGTGCCATGGGGCGCACATGCTTCACGCAAAGGCTGCTCGCATCACCCTGCCCCCCCTCCCGCCGAGTCAGGGCCCTGATCCGCGGTGAAGAACTCCAGCGCTTGGCTGCCATCAACCTCGAAGCAGCCGTGGATGGCCGCGAAGGCCTGCGTCATGCCATTGAAATCCTTGGCGAGGGGCTGCTCGGTCGCGGGCTCGTGCTTGATCAAGAAGTTCGCGAAGTCCTGGCGGCAGGAGCGGAAGGAGGGGGATTGGGAAGGATGGATTTGGGTCGGGGTTCGGGCGAGCGTCCTCAATCCGCGCCATCACGACCCTGCGCGCACCCGAGGTGCGGTAGCGCAAGGTGGGCAACAGTGCACACTCGGAGCCGACGAAATTGTTCCCAGCGCTGGTGTAAAACAAATAGGGCTGCCCGCACGCTGTCTTGAGGTCGGCGCGCGCACCCCGGCTGCGATGCATCACCCCCGCCGAGGGCCCGAGCGACCCACCTCCGACCGCACGCTGGGGGGCCCAAACGAGGCGGAGTAACAACACGCAGCACGCAGAAGCAACCGCCTCCTGCCCACGAAGAGACATTTAGGTGGTGATTGCAAGCAGGGCGGGGGCGACGTGCCCCCTCCTGCCTCATCCCTCAGCCACCCCCCCCTCCTCCATCCGACCTCGTCCTCCCTCGCCTCTCCTCTCTCCCACTCATGCCTCCCTCGGCGTCCTCCTTCGCCCCTCCTCCACCCGACCTCCTACCTCATACATGGGCCCCCCAACGCACACCTAGCAGCGGGGCCACGTGCTAGGTGGCGGCACCTGATGGCCAAGCCCCAGCCTGAGCAGTGAAGGGGTCGCCGAGCCTGAGAAACGGGCTCGCCTCCTCCAGCGGCACGGGCCCCTGCTTCCCCCCCGTGCCGAGCGCCCGATGCTGCCACGAATTCACGAGGGCCGCAGTGTTCTTCCCGCACACGGCCGCGAAGTGGTGCTGCATGTCCTCGCGGACGCCAGCGGGCGGACATCTGAATGAGGAAGATGGCGACGACAATCGTCGCCGTCGCCGTCGTCCCCGTCGGCCGTCGGTCGCGGGTCGCCGGTCGTCGGTCGCGGGCCGCCGTCGCAGTCGCAGCCGACGACCACAGACCCGCGACCGCCGTCCGACGAGGGGACGGGGGACCAAACGCTCAAGTGGAAAGCAACACAGCGCCCAGGATGATATCACCAGCATGGCCCCCATAACTCACCGAGGCGCGACATCACCTGCGCAGACCGCCCCACTCCTACTCCACCCTCCGTCCCGAACGTCCTTAATGATGAATGGGCAATTCTTCTGCATGTTCGCTGACGCGGCGCCGTGATCGGCCACCGCGATCACCTTGGCCGTCGGCAGCTGGGCAGTCCAGAACTCGGGAGGCACCTGGCCAGGCTGGAGCCCCGGGGCAATCTTCATCATGCGTTTGTTCAGCTCCCGCACAACAGCCTTCGCCTTCTGCTCGCCCTGTCGCGCGGCCTGGGTGGCGCGCAAGGCCCGCTGCGCCTTCTCCGTCTGGACCGATCTCTTGAGGGACGCGAGCATCTGCTTATACGAGTTCAACAAGTCAGTCAATGCGTCCTCATGGCGCTGGATCTGCCTGTCGAGCTTGGCAACGGCCTTCTGCTTGGTCACCGTGAAGGAGGGGCGGCGACACAATGCGGCAGCGAACGCAGCGAGGATCGGGGGGCTGCGGCGAGGAAATGCCACACGACGCAAGACGGTCAGGGATGGGGCACCGACTGCGGTCCGTGAGTCAGGGCACGGTGGGAGCGAGGTTGACGCAGTGTTGATCATGTTATAGTGCGGAGCGCTTTGTTACATTGGTACTTGGTTTTGGTATACACAATTATGTTTGGTGTGTTGTTGGTGTTGCTGTTGTTGTTGTTGGTGTTGCTGTTGTTGTTGGTGTTGTTGTTGTTGGTGTTGGTGTTGGGGTTGTTGTTGTTGCTGATGTTGTTGTTGTTGTTGGTGTTGGCGCGGCTGCTGCTGATTGCGTTGTTTCTCTCAATTTTGTTGTTGAGTATATATATATATATATATTATATAATGTTATTAGATTTCTGGGCACAGGTTGTTTAGAACGTTTCCTCTTCCACCCCTCGCTCTACCCCTTTAGGGAGGGGAGGTGTTTACTTTCCTCACCTACCCCCCTCCCCTGGACCTGGGCGGGCGCGGTCGCGGGTCGCTGGCGCGCCCAAGATGGCCTCGACGAGGAAGCCATCGTCATCGGTTTGACTAGGGCGTTGGCCCCATGGTGCTTTTTTGTTGGGGGGCGGAGGCTCATTACACCACACCGTTCGTTGTTCGATCTCCCCCAGTGTGGCCCTAAGAGGCGCCCAGGAGGCAACATGAGGCCGCACTATGGCCATACATTGGCCCCACGATGGCCCCTAGAGGCACCAAGGAGGCCCTCAAAGGGACCCCGAGCGGCCCCGAGTGGCCTCCCAGAGGCGCCCACGACGCCCAAGAGCCCCCCAGGACCGCTGAGAGACCACCGACACGCCACATGAGGCCTCCAAGAGGCGCCCAAAAGATAGCTCAAGAGGCTCCGAGAGGCATCCAAGGGACCTGTAGCCTTTTTACTTGCCCTCATCCTCCTGCCCATCCTTCCTCCTCATACGTCGTCTCTTCCTCCTCCTCCTCCTCCTCTTCCTCCTCCTCCTCCTCCTCCTCCTCCTCCCAGTCATCTTCCGTCCCCCCACTCCCTTGACCATCCATCCAGCATCCTCCTTCTCATCCTCATTCCTTTGCACGGTTTGACCGTCCACCTCGCTTCCTTGATCACTCCAACTCGCCTGGGCATCGTTTCTGGGTGGGCTGGTGGAGATACGCAAAGCGCCCAGAAATCCTTATCCTCACTCCTCACCTCCTCTCCTCCTTACCCCCGTTGCCTGCCGAGCGGCACCCGTCAACTTCGTTTGGATCTCATGCAGGGGCTCGAGGTGACCGAAACCGCTCGGCAGCTGCTTCTTCTGCTCCTTCGCCCACTTGAAGAAGGCGGACAGCGCGCTGGCATCGTCAGCCTCCGCTGCCCAGACCCGCAAGCGAGTTCACATCAACTACCTCTGATCGAAAGTTAGCCTCCTGCACGTCGCTCGCATCGGTCCTCATTCCTCATCCTCTTCCTCACGCATGTGCTCATCATGCTCCTCACTCCTCGTCCTCGTGTGCTCCTCACTCCTCACGTGCTCCTCGCTCCTCGTCCTCATCGCCATCGCCGTCGCCGCCGCCGCCGTCGAGATGGGTCGACGGGGCTGGCCCCGACGGCCAGCCTCAACGGGCTGGGGAGGTGAGGGGGGCGAAGGAGACCGACGGCAAACATGGGGCGGACGAAAGGCGGGGGCAGTCGGACATAATGTCGGATCGGGCCGAGCTCCGCAGTCAACACCAGAGAAACCACGATCTGCATGCATACCAGACTTGCTCGGCACCTGTGGTGCCACGGGCTCAAGGGCATACGCCAGGGGCGCCAGATATGAGCGTGTTTTGCCGACAGGCGCACAGGGGAGATCGAGGGGCCCGACTGTCTGGCAACGGTGCGTCGCAACTACAACGTGCACTAGGAGCCATGAAGCGTTGCTCCCTGGATCCCGCGGGAACTGCGAAGTATATCGCAATGATGGCGTAGCAACGTGTAACGTCAACGTAACGAGCGTAAATCCACAAACCCATTTTGGTAGGGATCAGCACTGGCCCGAGTGCTGATCCCTACCAAAACGGGCTGTCGGATTTCAGCGTCGTTGTGCCATGTACTTCAGACTCTGCGATACGACCCGTCATGGTATTTTGTATGTGACCTATGCTCGCGTGCCTCGCTAGAGCTGAAGGTGACGGTGATGGGCGGAAAAGCACAGCTTTATGCTGATAGTGGCGATGGAAATGTAAGCTACAGCGGTAAATATGATGATGGTAATGCTGATGGCGATGGTGATGGTGATGATGATGATGATGATGATGCTGATGATGATGATGATGATGATGATGATGATGATGATGCTGGTGATGATGGTGTTGGTGACGATGCTGATGGCGATGGAGATGGCGCCGACGTGGCCAGCTCACTCGGAGTCCGACTCCGACTGGCCCTCCCCCGTGAGCCTCGTGAGCTCGTGCCCCCTCGCAGCGCGGGCCGGCGCGGACGAGGTGGCTTTGCGGAAGATGTCCTTGACCTGGTCGAGGTTGCGAATGATGTTCGACCTCTGGGACGCCGTGATCTCGGCGGTGTGGCACCGCATGATCTTCTTGAGCTCGGGCGTCGTCTCCTTGACATGCACGCTGAAGGCCCGAAGCCGCCTGCTCACCGTGAACGCGGGCTTCATGATGGCGAGCTTCTCACGGCCCAGCCCCCTCGAGTTCGCGGCGAACTCGAAGAGGTGCTCATCCTCGTCGGAGCTCTGGACGGGCCTGTAAAGCGGGCGGAACGTTCCGACCCGAGCTACCTTGCACGAGTTCCCCTTCTTGAGCTCATCACTGAGCACGTACCCTAAGTTCATGATCACATGCTTGACGTCCGCCTGCGACAATCCGCTCCTCTGGGCTACGCGCTGCGCCACCGCAGCGTACGTGAGGAACGTCCCAGACTCGCTGCCGCCGCCAGTGCCGAAGTCATCTGTCGTCGCCGCCGCCTCCACAAGAGGATCTATGCTGGACTCAGATGCGCACCCTCGGTCGTCGTCGGCGCCCTCGCCCGAGCCACTCGCCGCCGCCGCCGCCGTCGGGGTCGGGGCGAAGGCCTCAGGCGTCCGAGGGGCGGCGCCTGGCGTCATCGGGGCGAAGGCCTCAGGCGTCCGAGGGGCGTCGCCGTCGCCTGGCGTCATCGGGATGACGGGCTGATCCATGGGCGGCGTGGGGACACTGCTCATGGATGACAGCGGCTGCTAAGTTGGGAGACGGGGCAAGCTTGCAAAGAGCTGTTCGAGCCGAAAGCGGGCAACGGATAGACGAGAGCTTCAGGGACCAGGGGAAGCTTTACTTGCCAGGGTCGATGCCCATCTCTGCGGCGAACCCCAGGAGCTTCTGACACCAAAACGAACCCATACATATCGCCATACATGCACCTAACGCCGATGATCCTCAGAACGCGCGCTAGCCCGAACGTGCGCGTGCCCATCGAGGCCGTTCGACACGACCCAGGCGACGCCAGGCGATGTAATGATCTACTGATGGGGCTGAAGGGGGTAAACACACACTGGGCTAACACATGTCCTGAGGAACATCGGTAATGACCTGGATGACGCTCGGGATACCCCGAAAGAGGCAAGACACGATGTGGCCCCAGAGCTAAGCCCAGACCTGGCCCCTGATCCCTGATCCCACGCCTTATCTCAGAGTTAAGCCCAACGGGCCCGACCTGACCCCAACGTTCCCACATAGATTGCACCATGCAGATTGCACCACATATGATGCGCAATAATTGTTTCACCGCCTGAGTTGCACAACGTACATGGTTCAACCTCAAGTAAGCCACACCGCTATACACGCATGTTGCACCACATAGTTGGCACCACATGCATTATACAATACGTATTGCACCGCATAGGTCACATATGTTGCATCACACAGACTGCGCAACATAGATGGCACAACATAGATTGCGCCGTGTAGGCCCCTAGGGACATAATGTTTCAGCCCAGCGCCGTTTGGACCCCCCGTCGCCTCATCGCGGAGTGGAGTGCGGCAGGCTTGGAGGAGGAGGGGGAGGATGCGGAGGAGGAGGGCTCATACGTCGGAAGCCCCAGGACAAAATCCGTAAAGAAACCTGGGGGGGAGCGAAGGGAAGGATGAGGAGGCTGGCGTCGAAGACGACGCCGACGGTGGCGGCGACAAGGACAACTGCGACGATAGCTCTGAGAATGGACACGCACGGGGCATAGGAGGGCGAAGTGATGGACAGGCACGCGCACGCGCAATACCCCGAGCCCCGCCTTGATCTGCTCTGCTTTCCCCGCGTCGGCATCGAACCTGCGGGCGGTCAACTCGGTCAAGTCGGCCATCCCCTGGGACTCGGACGCGCCCATCACCTCGCCCAGGGAGGGGTAGAAGATCCGCTTGCCCGCCTCCGAGAACACGGCCTGGCACACCGTACCTTTGTACACCAGGTTCTGCACCAGCAATGCAACGCCTGCGCTCGCCATCTCTGGCATGGCGTCCTTCATGATCTGGCTCGACTGGTCAATCATCGCCGCCCAATCGCCGCCCATCTTGGACAGCTTCCGCTGGAACTTCGCGAATGTGGTGGCGGCGATGTCCGCGAAGCTCTTGCCCTTGGCCTTGCGCTTCCTGGGCCCCTGCTCACTGGCATCAGACTCGGCAGAATCATCATCATCATCATCATCAGAGCCCGCGTCAGACTCGCTAGGCGAGCGCTCAGCGCGGGACCTCTTGCCACCAGACTTGTCCTTGCCACGGTACGACCTGTCATCGCCGATCGTGGACGCGGGCGGGCTCGGCTGATACCTGGACCTGACATCCGACCTACTCCTGGACCTCCCTCTGCAATCCGATCTGCCGCTCGGGTCCTGGTCTGGAACAGGGGGCGTCGGCGGCCGCGATCGCCCGCCGCGGAGGATCGAGTCCGCAGCGGCCGAGCCCATCGTGTTCGCGTGCAGGGACGAGCTCCAGGTGTCCACGTCCTCCAGCTCACCCTCGTAGCGCTGCAGCCGCTCCTCCGTGGGCCTGGCCACGTCCTTGCCCCACATCTCCAATTTGTTCGCGGTCCTACTTTGATCATATGAGAGGACGAAGTCCTCCACCCCGATGAGAACCCTCACGGAGCCGTTGGGCCCCTTCCTGTCCGTTTCCTTCCCGCTGCCCTCGGCGCTGTCCAAGGTCCATCTGCCCAGTGCCTCCAGCGGACATGGGCAGGGCGACAGCGGCATACGTGGACAGTGGGCACGGGGAGGAGGGTGTGAAAATGATGAGGAGGGGGAGGGCCTCTTACGGGCGTAGGTTTCAGCCTCTCCGAATGGCGCACGCACTGGACCGAGCACTCGTTCCCAGAAGGTCCGATCTGAGCGTGCGCCCAGCCCCATTGCCGACGCCTTTCATCCACACATTTTCTTTCCAACCCCGCAGGAGGACGATGAGGAGGAGGAGGATGAGGAGGAGGAGGAGCAAGAGGAGGAGAAGGAGGAGGAGGAGGAAGTCGGCTAGGACTGCGGCGCTTGGACAGTGGGTCCCCAGTGGCCGCGTGCTCACCATTTAACCGTGGCTGAGCGATGGCAAGTCGGAAGTCGGGGTTCCGCAGCCGCCGCCACCTCCTCCTCCTCCTCCTCCCTGTCCTCCTCCTCCTCATCTGTCGCCACCTCCTCCTTGGGTGCCGACGGCCCCCTAGGGACCGACGGTCAGCGCGCAGTCCCAGTCGACCCCCTTGGGGGCCCACTGTCCCGCGCGCAGTCCCAGCCGAACCCCCGGGGCAAGCTGAATAGGGGGATGACGATGCTGGAACAAAGGGGGCGAGGAGGAGGAATGGGGAGGAGGAGGGCCACGTGGATGAGAGCGATGGGGGAGGGCGATGAGGGTGGCATGCGGAGACGGAGGCCCCTCCACCAAATCAAACAAAGGCAGAATGGAAAAGGCAACGTGCTCCTCATGCTCGGATATCCCATACTCCTCCATGTGGTAGCGCACGTACCTGTGCTGGTGCATGAAGATCCCCTTGGCGCCCCGCTCGGACACCTCCCACAACCCTCTCGTGGACAGTGCGCGAGCCGACGGATGAGGGCTGCGGGGAGGTATAGAGACCTGGACTGCACTGCGCTGAGGGGCGTCGGGGAGGCGATGCAATGGCTGGGCGGGGAGCGCGCGGATGGCCGCGGGGGGGGTCGCAACGACGATGAGAGGGAAATTGATGCGCCCATCGCTTCCGCACCCGCTCTCTATCCTTGGCTCCACAACACCCTCGCCACACAAGCTGCAGGGTGTACTATATATATATATATAAGCATGCGCTACAAACATTACGTATGCGCATCCACGTTAACCCATGTGTGGAAACCTAAAACTGTGTGCTGGTTCGTGTGTGTATACATGCATAAACATACGCGTACACGTATGAACACACGGATCGCTTGATGATACACCTCTGTCTATGTCGGTGCACGTGCGTTGGCATACACCTTCGTATACACACGCGCGTGCACCCCCGCACCACATGCTATACACTGCGTTGCTTGGGCAAAAACCACCCGCCCGCGGCGCGCCTGAGCCCGCTCGTAGATCCTGCTGAACCTGCAGACGTCGAACGACCCGCGGGAGCGGCCGCGGCCACGCGCCTCCACCCCCAGCCAACGGGACACAGTTTGTGACACTAGAGGCGGTGCTGCGGAGGGAGGGGGATGAGGGGCACGCGAGGGCGGAGGGAGAGGGCATACGCATATGTGTACCGTTTTCGATACCATTACTTGTCGCGTCTCCCTCTCTCATCCTCATTGGCCCCCTCTCGTTCCCCCTCGTACTCCCTAGCAGTTTGTGTTCTCTCCGTCCCTCTCTCCCCCTATCCCTCCCTCTCCCCCCCCCTCTCTCTCTCTCCCTCCCTCTTACAACCGTATGTGGCCCCCCTCTCGCTCACTCTCTCTCTCTCTCTCTCTCTCTCTCTCTCTCTCTCTCTCTCTCTCTTTCTCTCTCTCTCTCTCTCTCTATCCCTCTCTCCGCCCACCCCTCCACTCGTCCGTCCTTCTCTCGATCCACCATATGCCCGATATGCGTGCTCACATGCGCGGGGCGGACTTGGAGCTGCACGACCCCTGGGCCCTCGGGCTCAATCGGGGTGAGCGGGCAAGGCTGCAGGCCGAAACCCATCCCCGCCCCGCCTGACACGTGGCGAGGTAGCTGCTCAAGTAGGCCTGGAGCCGCGCGCCGCCGCCCTTGCGGACGAGGGAGAACTCTGCCTTGGCCTTCGGCCCCTGACGAGCCGCGCCCCCACCTGCTGCTTTGATGTCGGTCACGTGGGAGCGGCAAAACTTTTCATTCCTCATCGCCTCACTGTCGCAACCCGCGAAGTCGCAGAATCGCTTCTTCGGCTCGGCCTTCGGTTTCGGGTCGGCCTTCTGTCTCCTGCTGTGGCCCCCGCTCGGTCGAGGCGGCGGCGGCGGCGATGCGTCTCGAAGGCCATCGTTCTCGTCGATCGTCGATCCAGGCCGCTCGATGCCCTTCGCGGGCTCTGGGATCGCAGGGGCGTCGGCCCCGTCGTCTTCGACCTCCATCATCATGAAATCGCCGCTGCTGCTGGCCATGGCCACTTTCAGGCTGCAGGTATTGGGGGTGTCCTTATTGGGGCGGTGGGGAGAAGAGCCCTGCAGGGGCCTTAGGACTCCTGTTGGCGCCTTTGGGGCCGCACAGGGCCCCCTCGGGGCCCGTTCCCCCACTCCCCAATAAGGTCACCCCCCATTAACTGCAGCCCGACACTCGCAGGGCCACTCAGGCCCTCCCCCTCGCAGCAC